CATTGTTTGGGTTGTACGGCTACCTATAATTTACTAACGTTAATCATTGGCAATCATATAACATTTCGTTATTTTCCTAAAATAAAGAAAATCACATGTCACAATAATATAAATAGACGGTAGTATTCATAATCAGGGGCGGGTCGAGGGTCCGAGGACTGGTTATGGGGATAATTGACCGAAATGGTAACAAAAACGCTGAGCGTAGTTATGTGATTTTTTAACGATTTTAAGCAAATATTGAATTTTTCTACCGCTCTCTTCCCCTCCCCTTTTTTGAATGCACCACTGATAATGATTGTATAAACAATTATATAAACGATATATTAGTAATCTAATTTGAGCAAGTGAACATCTCAATTTATAATTCTCACGAATCCCTTTCATGCAACACTTGAAAACGTTATTTTAACCGTGATATGTAGGGAGGCAGAGACTGAGTTGTCAATGTATATTTGTTCCGCCGACCAGAGGTTCCCCTGGAAACTTTGTTATAAACAATGCCATAAAATCTATTCCTTTTGGAACCAATGTTCTATACCCTTTGTTCTGTTAGGAACAAATACTGTAATATATATTCCAGTGGAAATGATATTACATAACATTTCTTCCTTTTTTGAAATTTCCAGTGGCGGATCCAGAACTTTTCACAAAGAGGGGGGGGGGGGCGCTGACTGACCTAAGGGGGCCCTCTCCAGTCATGCTTCAGTGATTCCCTATATAATCAACTAAATTTTTTCCACAAAAGGGGCCCCGGGTCCCCCTAGCACCCCCCCCCCCCCGGATCCGCCTATGATTTCTTATTATTAAAGAACTGATGTTTCATGACAGAGTTATACATTGACAGTCTTAATTTGTTTTAAAAAGATCAATATTAATTCTGTCAAAGTTTTAGTTTTTATTTTGTCACACGGTTTTCATTGTGAAAAAAGAATTGTATTTCAAGATATAGTTTGTTTATATTTTGATCACATGAGTAAACTATTTAAATTTTAGCGCACATTAAGTCACCTGTGGAATATTTAAAATAATATTTAGATTGTCTCCCTTTAATCAAATAGGAACTAGCTCCTACTGAAAACGAAAGTAATCTGTTTAAAACCAAAATAAAAGACAAAGTTCATTAAATCCAATTGATTAGGTAAGTTAACTAAACAAGCAGGAAAGACTTACTTATGAACCCCTCGTATTGAAGGAATAAGCATGGATATACATCATACCTGAAGGAGTGGGAAGGATTTTTTGCCGTTTATTTAAATATGATCTGTATTTGTCACAAGTATAATTATATGTATGCTTATATATGACAATAAAGGAATTAGTGGAAACAAACAAAGACGACATTCCAAATGAAGTTTCTATTTTTAAATGCTAGAGCTTCATGACTACAAATATCCCCCCCCCCCCCCCCCCCCCCCCCGAGAGAAATCCTGGTTAAGTGGCTGAAAACTGGCAGAGGCGGATTGAGGGTCTAGGGCCCCTTGTAGAGCTTTATATATGATTAATTCATAGACTTTTTACATGTCTTATTCTAAACGTTGCCTAGTTTTTCCCCTGTTCATAATCCTAGGATCCGCATGTGTCTTATACATGTACATGTATATAATATACTGAAGTTCAAAGTTATCATTCCATGGGTACAAATGTAGTCACGTTGATAACTGAATGTAATCAATCAGAATGAATCTTAGTGTCTGGCTATAGAATTGTTTTTAACAAACTTTTATATTAATCTGTGCACTAGCAGGATACTACATCAGAATTTGCAATGTGGGGTCAGGTTTTCTAACTAAAATTCTGAGTCTGCGGTTGATTATCAAAAAAGAGGTAGATGAGAGCCAGTGCGACTACTTAACTATGATCTGACTTAATAAAAGGATGTTAGACTTTAATGGTTTCTTAGAATAATCAATCTGAGGAACAATTGTCAATTTGGTATTTATATAGATAGCACGTACCTGAACTTTCTCAATTCAAGGTTATGGATTATTGTAAGACTTTTTTAAACGGTTAAGGTAATAATGATTTGTGGAATGCAACATACATGACAGATTTTGATGCCTGACACCAACTTGCAATTCCCCAGGAATCCGCCATGATACTCTAGTCCTATAACTTCACATTCTTATTCAATTTTTTTATATGCACGTTTTTATACTGATATTTTAATTTTTTTTAACGCACGTTGATAGTTAAAAAAAATTGGCAAAATTAGTAAAAAGAAAATATCAGAAAAAAATAGAAATAGAAAATAAAGCCCCCGAAGTCATATGTTATAGGACTACATGATGCTCGAGTCTGAGACAATAAACAAAGACTTGAAATTTCGAAATGATTATGAATTAAAGTGTATACATGTGTGAAAATTGATTCACGACGTCACGTTCCTTTGACAATATCAAGTGGTAGTAAATCATTGTATTTCATATTTCATACTGGTAAAAGGTTTTAACATAACTGATAATGGGTCTACCGGTGATATTTGTTATGAAATTATTTCGTGACATATGACAAAGGATCTCCTCATGTATTAGTTCAAAAATTGGAACACTTGCATGTATGCGTACTGCTTATTGTACGACAAAATATAAAAAATAAGAAGATGTGGTATGATTGCCAATGAGACAACTCTCCACAAGAGACCAAATGACACAGAAATTAACTACTATAAGTCACCGTGCGACCTTCAACAATGAGCAAAGCCCATGCCTTGTTAGCGCATTCGCGCTTTGAATTTTGTTTCTGCCATGGTAAGGTCTGCCTTTCCACGACTTATAGTTTTTGATTGCACCTTGTTCCTTCTGTCTACTTTTAGGCAAAGTATTCTTGAACGACCCATCTTTAAAAATATGGTATTTACGTTTCATATTTATTGAACTTTATTACTAAGTTTGTGTTGTATAACACATGATTTATAACAAACATTTCTAAAATTGTCCATTTATATAATTTTGAAATTATTTAGAAACTAAGGTTTCTACTCCCTCAGAAAAAGTTGACCTTAGATGGATATGGCTATTTTTAGGTCCTTTTTGGTCGTATAGCTCTTCAACTGTTTCGGTTCTTATACATCCTTTGCTTTCAAATATTTCTGATGAAGGTAAATCCAGAAAAGCGCTTCGGATGCATGAAATTTATAACGGTGTTGTTTTCATTTTCACGAGGAAATACAATGATCAGATGTAAATCACAATAATGTGCATACTTATAAAACTGAAATATACAAATATTATACTGTTTCAGAAGTTTAACGAGTTATGCGGATGTGCTTGTGTATTTTTTTTTTTTACGAAGTCCCGTGATCTCTTAACATACTAATCTCTCATGCAAAAATCCTCCTCATTATTAATTGTATGTCTGTCCTTAACCTTAGACTTTATATTTTCAACATTTTATGTATTCGGTATTCTTTTTCTTATAAGCTGATTTGGTCCAAAGATCCATCTGAATTTTACTCATCACTTGGCGTCCGTCGTCTGCCGTCGTCCGTTAACTTTTACAAAAATACTCTCCTCTGAAACTACAGAGCAAATTGTAACCAAAATAGATCGCAATTATTAATGAATCTTGTTGAAAAAGTGTGTCCGATGATCCCGTCTGACAACCAACATGGCTGCCAATGCTAAAAATAGAACATGGGGGTAAAAAGAAAGTATTGTCCATTATCTTTAAAACCGTTATGAATAGAGAAAATCTGAGAGGCATAAATGTTAAAAAAGTAACAAAATCTACCTTCCGCCTATTTCGACCAAATTGTCGAACAACTTCTACGCATATGAGTTGTTGCCCTTAAATGACATATTTTACCAATGTTTTGCAATTTTGGTTATTATCGTTAAAATTTTAATAGATATAGTGAAACTGTAAATTGGAAAAAGATAAAAGACGATTTTAACCAATGCTTGTGATTTTGCGGAATGCATAGTAGTTGGAGAGACACTGTAACCATCAAAAATGTCAAGAAGCTACAATACAGATAAATCAACCCCGACGATATCGTCAGACGACCTTTCATATGAATATTTTCCCTTGAATGACACTTTTTACCAATCCGTTATTTTCATGCCATAATTATCCGAAGTATTCGTATTGCATTGTATCATTTTTTTGAAAATGCCATAGGAGCGATTCAGGCTCCTTCGAGCCGCTTGTTTTTAGAACATTTTCCCCTTCCTCATTCTTGATATCAACGTTTAGTATAAAGATAAAAACTAAATGAGAAGCAACTTGAAAGTTCACCATATCTCTTGTCCTTACGTATAATGATAATGTATAAGTAAATACATTATAACGTCAGATTTTGTCCAATGGTTCTAAATTTATAAGTTTTTCGCACTGATAACTTTGGCCACAAGCTTTGATCCAGAAAAGTATTCTGTCTAGGGATTTAATATCAATATTGGCACATTTTGGCTGCAGACTATTTGGGATCCTAGGTGGCGGCAAAACCTTTTCTGAAGCTTTTAGGTCCTCAAATTGGACAAAATCATTATATTTTGACAACATAACCGGAATGTACTCAGACTCTTGAGTATATAATGTACGTACTCTAAAAAGATATTTGTTCTGGCTAATATTACGAGTTTGAAATAGACCCATTTATGATGTTATATATTTTATGATGCATTTGAAATTTTGGCATGGGTGAACCTTGTCCTTTTATGTCACAAACGATCATCCAAATGTGTGATTTAGTGTGGAGATTTTTGTAAGCTCTAATTGTGTTATATTGAGATTTAATATCATTATCAAATCACCAGTTCTTCTTGAAGATACAACTTTTAGATATTTTCGTTATTACTCGGTCATTATAAGATAAACAGATGATGCATTTCAGAGTGAAAACGCGTTTAAAAAAACCTAAAGTTATTAATTTCCACAAATGCCATAAGATGAAATGATATAAATGTCTACATTTAACTGAACATTCTTTATAGACCATTTGAGGCCAAAGATTACCATAATTATCATCCTTGTACTGCATATTTCTATTCTTACAGTATGGCGGACAGTAACTTCTGTGCTGGTTGTCAGCGTGGTAACGAGGACGTTCAAGCCATATCCTGGTGCAGTGACTGTACTGAACTTGTATGTAAAGCATGTGCCAGAGTTCATGAAAAGATGTCCCCACCTCACAAGGTAGTACCAATGAAAGAGATACAACAACTCAGTTCTTCTCTTCTTAACTTGTCCAAAAACTGCGAAAATCACCCCGATCAAAAGATTGTACTGTTCTGTTGTCAACATGACAAAGTAATCTGCGATTCATGTGTACCTGTATCACATCAGAATTGCAAGTCTATCATTTCAATTGAAAAAGCTGCTAGAAGTGTGAACGATGGTACAGCTATTTCTGACTTAGAGAGAAGGATGGACGATCTAAGGCAAGTTACAGAGAACATACTTAGTCAAACTGAGGCAACACTAGGAGATTTGTCAAAAAGTCGAAATAATATCAAGAAAAGAGTATCGGAAATCAAACAGAAAATAGTTGCTCATTTAGATAAGTTAGAAGCAGAAATACATAAAGACATTAATTCTCAGTATAAATACTGTACTGAGATGGTCGCTCGAACTAAAGATAGCGCCCGGTCCAGCACTGACTCGCTGTCTACATGGAAAAGTGATCTGAAATCACTAAAACAGCATGCATCAGAAATCCATTTATTCCAGGTGGTAAAATTTCTAGATGCAAAAACCCACGGGAAAGAATTAGAAATCAGAGAAATTCAAACAGCAACTGTTCCTATACTAGCATATCATCCTTCAGAGTCAGAGTTCAACATAAAGAAATTATTCCCAGACTTGGGTACAATAACGGTAGATAATGTCCAAGTACCAACGCCTGTTCTAAATATTGATCAACAATGTCAGTTTCTGGTCAGAGACAACAAAAAATTGTCTTTGACACATTCTTTCCAGACCACGAAATTACCTGATGGAGTGCGTATTTTTAGAGGTTGTCTTATTCCTGGTGATAAGTTACTCCTTGTTCAGTGCATGAATGATAAACTTTATGTTTCTAAACTTGATGGATCCAAACCCAAGGTAATTAATTTGGATTATTCACCACAATGTATTACCTTGTATGACAACAACCATGCTTTAGTATCTTTAGGTGATAAAGGTATCCAGATCATTGACCTGACAACATTAAAGCCTGGTAGGAAAATTAAAGTTGGAGGATATTGTAAAGGAATAACCAGTGTAAAGGATAAGATCTGGGTACAAAATCAAGAAAACACTCTAACCATTGTGGATATCAATGGTAAAGTTCTTAATACAATACATACAACATTTGATCCTTGGGATATATGTGCCAACACATATGGTGATGTCTATTGTACTGCCGTTTTTAGTGATAAAGTATACGTCGTAACATCGGATGGAAAAGAACGTAAGATATACAGCAGTCGTGACCTGAAAGATGCTGGGGATGTGACTGTAGATGACCGTGGTGATGTGTATGTAGCAGGAAAAGAATCAAACAATATACATAGAATATCTAATGATGGACAGAAACATGGCATTGTCCTGACAGCAGACGATGGTATCAAACAACCGACCGGTTTATCTTACAACTGTGAAAAAAACGAACTATTAGTTATAAACGACGATGGTAAAACTATCAATATTTACAAAACACAATGAACACTGACTAAGGGACATTGATTGTTAAGCCTGGTAACTATTAATTAGTTAAATGAGTAGTATTTAGATAAAATATAGTTGTTTTGTAATTTGATGAAATTTTTATTTTCTAGTATAAGTTATATGGGGTTATAAAATGTTGCTAGAAACTTTTTTCGATTTAGCTTTATACTGACAAGTTTAACCATACCGAAGATGACCCTTCAATTTTATATGAAAGGAAACAATCAAAATTTTAAGTCTAAATATGACACCTTTTAAAAACAAAAATTTGACGAGTTAAAATATCTTGACAAATATATATTAATAGGCTTTTCGGACTAGTTGTTAGTAATATTTTCAAAATTTGACACAGGAAAAGAGCACTATAGTGGATGGTATAATGTTTTAGTCACATTAGTGAAACATTAAATTTCAATTCATGAAAGATCAAAATTTTTAGTTATTTGGAGAATTTATGGTTAGACAAAATTTCACCTCTCAGAAAGTCGACAATATAAAGAAGATTTCTGGAGTAATGAAACCAGAAAATATTGTATTCTCACAAAATTAGCTTGATCAAAATATTCGATATGAATCATGTAAAAAACCAATTACTTCCAAACGTACATAATATGATACAACTATGATGGTTTTTTTTAAGTTTTGGTTGCTTCACGAGTTGTGGCTAATAATCTCTCTCATCACCAATTATTCACAGAATAAATATATACAACAATTGAACAAGGTAGATATCAAGGTATTTCTCGACAAAACAGAGTATGTCTCAGGTGCACCTCAAATGAAATTGGTGATTTTTTATTTTTATTTTCATGCACATCATCTAACTAGGAGAAACTGCATGTACTCCATGATTAACTCACTCTGTCCTAACTTTATGCGCTTGATTCCTAGCCAAAAAATTATTTGGCTACTTAATGAAGAGAATGTTGATATATTAATATCTGTTTCTGATCTCATCTTCTTCTTCTTCTCTTTTTCTTCTTCTAAAACGAAAAAAATATTATCCCAATTTGACAATAAAAGTTAAATCCTAGACTACATCAAACATGGTCTACAGTTACTGAAAAAAGAAAATAAGGGTGCGGTTAAAACTAATTAGGATTTTATTTTTTTCAGACTTTTTGTGTACTGAAAAACTTGACCAGTTAGCACTTTTTGCATACAATAAGTGGGAATCAAATTCAGTTATCGTCCAAAATATGTTTTGAATACTCTCTAATGTTTTAAAAGGGTGGATGAACACATTATTATATGAGTTCTTGAAAAAAAAGAGTAAAATACTACATATATCTGAGTCAGGTTTCAGACGAGGTCGTTCATGTAAAACTACTCTGACCTAACTAATTGATGAAAGGCTATCATATTTAGTTAATGGAGAAATAGTTGGTACCGTGTTATTTGGATTTTTGTCAGACTTTTGATCTTATTAACCATGATATACTTTTAAAAAATCTCAGACTTTATCATATCGGAGAACACATGATAACTTGGATAAGTTTATATATATCTGATAGCACAAGAAAATTAATGCGCGAATATAGATCTGATAGAAAGTTTGCAAAATATGGAGTGCCTCAAGTGTGTATTTTAGGTTCGTAGTTATTCGAATTCAAATCAATTTACCACTTCATGTTAAATCATCCAACATGGATTTATAGACTGGTGATACTTTATAACATTGCAAATGTAAACAGTACTTTGCAAAATGATTTGAATGCTGTACAGGAAATGAAGAGAATGCAACTAAGTTCGAAACAAAGACTAACACAACTATCAAAATTATTTATTACTATAAATGAAACCTGTGTTGAGAATGTTCATTCTTTCAAATCACTTGGAATTGACATCGATGAACATGTATTCTGTATGTGCCTGTCCCAAGTCAGGAGCATTTAATTCAGTGGTTGTCAATTGTTGCTGTATGTCATTTGGTTTTCGTTCATTATTTTGAACATAAATCAGGCCGTTAGTTTTCTCGTTTGAATTGTTTTACATTTGTCATTTTGGGGCCTTTTTTAGCTGACTATGTGGTGTGGGTTTTACTCATTGTTGAAGGGCGTACGGTGACCTATAGTTGTTAATTTCTGTGTCATTTGGTCTCTTGTGGAGGCAATCATACCACATCTTCTTATTTTTATACGACCGCAAAAAAATTTTGCGGTCGTATATTGGTATCGTTCGTCGTCGTCGGCGTCAGTGTCGTCCGAAGACATTTGGTTTCCGGACAATAACTGAAGTTTAAGTGTATGGATCTCTAAGATATTTAACCAAAAGGTTCAATACCAAAAAAAGAAGGTTGGGATTGTTTTTGGGGGTGATGGTCCCAACCGTTTAGGAATAAGGGGCCAAAAAGAGGCCAAAACAAGCATTTTTCTAGTTTCAGGACAATAACTTGTGTACAAGTATTTTGATTGCTCTGAAATTGTACCACAAGGTTCAATACCACAAGTACAAGGTTGGGATTCATTTGGGAGGTAACTTCCCAAACCGTTCAGGAATTAGGGGCCAAAAAGGGTCTAAAACAAGCATTTTTCTAGTTTTCAGACAATAACTTGTGTTTAAGTGTATGGATGTCTCTTAATTTGTACCACATTTTACAAGAAGAAAATTTCTTCAAAATAATTTTTTTTTGGAACAGGGGGGAGGGGGTAAAAAAAATTGGGGGGGGTCAATTTTATTTCCGCAAAAGAAAATTCTCTTCAAATATTATTTTTTATTTGGAGAGGGGGTTAAAAAAAAAATTGGGGGGGGTCAATTTTTTTTCCTCAAGATTTAAGAAATTGTCAATTTTCCAAAGAAAAAAATTGGGGGGTCACAATTTATTTTGCTAATTCTTTGTATGTAGCCTGAAAACAGATTTACTAAGTATTGCAAAACAGCACAGTGTATTGCACAACAGCAAGAAATCTTCAATTGAATATACATTCAAATCATACATTTGGATTCCAACCAATAACTTAAGTTTAAGTGTATGGAGCTCTATGAAATTTAACCAAAAGGTTCAATACCACAAAAGGAAGGTTGGGATTGTTTTTGGGGGTGATGGTCCCAACCGTTCAGGGATTAGGGGCCAAAAAGGCATTTTTCTTGTTTTCAGACAATAACTTGTGTTTAAGTGTATGGATGTCTCTTAATTTGTACCACATTTTACAAAAAGAAAATTTGGAGGGGGGGGGGGGGGGTAAAAAAAATTACACTTAGTCTGTGTCAGAAACCTATAATGTGTCAAATATTTAATTACAATCCAAATTCAGACCTTATCAAGCTTAAATATTGTGTCCATTTTTGCCCCAACTGTTCAGGGTTTGACCTCTGCGGTCGTATCCAGCTGCGCTCGGTGAAGCAGTTTATTAATATATTTAAGTTGGGAAGAACATGTTGATCATACATGTAAGATCGTTTTTTTTTCTCTCATAAATTTCACTTTTATATACACTTTAGTTTTCTCGTTTGGATTCTTTTACATTAAAGAAGTTATTCATTAGGTCTCTATTATGATTTCTTACTTAACAGTCTGACCACAACAGCCATTCATTTGTTCTTAGCAGTACCATTCACTAAAATACAAATGCAATACCCTTGACCAAGATAATCTCCATTCATATTTAAATTATGCTGTTTAGAATTAAGAATAGAACATCGGACAGTTGCCGCCACGGTCAACTCGTTTTCTCAATTACTGTTATTTACCTTGTTAAAAATGTTATGCATAAGACCTAATAGCGGACGACTAAAACACTCAAGCAAACATTCTGAGATTAATTGTCATAGTTCGTACACAACAAAGACAGATATAAAATGCAAAATAAGCAATGTAGTTTAAAAATCTGATTTTTGATAATTCATTACAGGTGATATAGAATTCAAACGGCCTATTCAGAAATTTTTCAAACTTCGCTTTAATCGTGAAAAAGTTCAACGAAATACTACTTTAATACAGTTACTACACTTATCGAGTGGCACGTCTTATTTTTACATAACTTCACTCCTTCATGTAAAGACAAGGGAATGCAAAATCGTGTATATTACGAATACATGTAATACTCATTTTAGCATATTCACAAATACTTCATATACGTTCCGTCATATACGGATACGTCCTCGATACGTGAGTTCTGCAACAGCTCTAATAGAGCATTTTCATTATTCACGTATCTGGATACGTGCACGGATCGACTTATACGTATCGGGCAGATTTGTATAAAATTAATGATCTAGCCCCGACCTCAATTAAAACTAAATTAAAATCAAATGCATTATAAAATATCTTCATCGGGACCAACTTGACTTAATTTATCCTTTCCTCATATACGTGTTATACGATACGTCGATACGGATACGCCAGCAAATACGTGAATAATGCAAATGCTCTACTAGCACGTTGTATTAAATACTACACAAACAAGTTGCTTTCTTTAAAAAAAGAAATGCAATCGTGAACTTAAATGCCTGTTTGACATACAAGATCAGATAATTGTTAAATAAAGATGAATAGTTTTACCTAAGTCTTGTTGTATAAGATATAGAAACTGTCATGGATTGTTAATGTAACTGTTGTTCAATGCAAAATATTCATTTGTCTATTATGCTCTCTCTCTCTCTCCCGTAAGGTAACATTACAACATTCTAGATAGGAGCCCAACCACTCTGGATATTCAATTCTGAGGTGCTGTTTTTGAAATTAAAAGTTATTTTTCTGGCTAAAGTCGAAATTCAAATGTGAAGAAATTTAACTGACATTAATCATGATTACTTGTTTGTGTAGCAAGTTTGAAAATAGTTCAAAACTCTAAGATATATTCTTATTTGATAATTCCGAACTAAAGCCGTTTTTGAAAACCAATCAAACTGGATTACATGGTTTGGTCATTGGCTATCATATTCCAGATATGTTTGACCTCAATTTATTTATACCACAGACAACAAACTCCAACCAAGGAGGTTATATTAGAAGGAGAGTGAACACTCTGCTTGATATAAAATTAGCATCCCCAGGATAGCAATTCGAGCAGAGGAAAATGATAAAAAATATAAAGAAACCGACATGTTTATCACCCACTTAATACGGTCCTCTGGTGTACCAGGCTGTTACCGCGAACAGTCCGTGTGATTTTCTCTTCACCTGTATGATGTATGACGCTGCCTATGATAATTGGTAGGTAATATTATAGAAAAAAGAGGAATATGTGAGGTACTTTCTTTACGGTGACCGGCTGCGACCGGAGCGAATATTTGTAATTGAGACGAAGAGAAATGTATCGAGAGCCAGCGAAAAGTTTGTTTCTCATTGCGTTAGGCTGTAGATATAGGCATAGCTGCTTAGATTTTCACCTCCGATGTTGGCTCCTGGGAATGGGAAATGGTAGGTTATATCCTCGAAAGATATATGTGATGTTTCCTTTGTTAAAGTGACCGGTTGCGACC